ATAAATTAGGTTAAATGGAACATAATTTTCTTAAATCCATAATTGAATAGCAATTTAAAAAAATTTATCAAATGTGTATTATGCATACATCATCAATCCCTTTATTCCTTTTGGTATGTTATGGTTTTACTTCGCTATGGCGAACTTATAAAATTTTAGTAATAAAAACTAATTATCATAAACATCAAATTATATCATGTACGAACTTGTTAGATTCATTTTGAAATGTATATTTAGATCACTAATTTTCTGTGATATTTATTAACATATAAATATAATTTTGTATATTTACGATTAAATATGTACATTGAAACCGTAAGTGATAGTCAAAATATAACAAATATATATACATAATTTTTTTTTTTTTTTTTTTTGTCTTTTTACAAATAATATTTTGTAGTCTCTTCATCCCCTGATAAAAAATCATATTTTCCATTGTACAATTGTTTAAGAAAATTACTCCCTCCATTGTGGTCCAAGAAAATGTTTTATAAAGTAGAAAAAAACAAAAGCTTAACTAACCAAAAACTATGAACAAAGATATAAAAAAAATGTAGTACGACTAAAAAAAGGAACAAAAATGGTATAAATAAGGTTGCCCTATTGTTGATTCTATAACCACTAAGACAAATATGGAAATACATACAAAAGTATCTCAATTTCAAAATTATGCAATGAGAAAAAAGGAAGATAGGTTTGTTAATTTTTATGATGCTTTCTCAATGAAAATGAGTAGTCACCATAATATCATATTATTCTACTTTTCTTTTTGTTACCATGTATTATGGGAACACTTCATGTACGTTCTTTTTATGAAGGACTATATATACCACATGAGTTGTCTATTAAAATTTGTTACATATGTAAATGTAAATTATGTTCTTAGATTTTTTTAGTGAAAAGGACTAGAAACAACCTACGTATGTGAATATTGTATTTGATTAATTTTAGTGAAAACTGAAAAGGACTAAAAACAACCTATCTATGCACTTATTAAATCTAAATTATCTGTAAAAAAAACTCAAATTACACTTAGATTACATAAATTGGTATTTCTATTACTTAGATTTATATAGAGTAACTTTACTCCTGATTCCAAGAGATTCTGGTATTGATTCTCACCCCTATTCTTGTGGTTCTCCAAACACCAAAAAAGAAAAAAAAATGTTATGGTTACCTACTTACCTTAAGAAATTGTGTAAAGTTGTGAATTATATAAGAAAAGCGTCTAAACGGTTGTGTAATATAAAATTAGTCGCGGTAATTTTCATTAGGAAAACTACTTATTAATATTAAGTACTACATATATGACATTCTCTATGAGGGAAATTTTTTTTATGTTTGTAAAAAAAGTAAACTAGTTATAACATTGTTTTGAATATTATAATAACCATTACTCCTTAGATTTTTCAATGATAATACTCGTAATTTAGAAATGCATGATAAAATTAAATGTTGATTAGTACTACGTATAATATATATTAACCAACAATATTTATTATAAATTCGATTTATTTAAAAGTTTATGTCTTTATTACCACTTCTAGAAAAGTTAATTGACTTGCACTAACTTATACTTGTATCTCCTAAAATATTTGAATGCCGAACTGTCCGAGATCTTTGGGTTGAATGCGGTTGCCAGGAACTTGCGAAATGGCCTCAAGATTTATCATTTCTGGATCTTTTTGAAGAATGGAGGAAGCTGAGCTCTAAACAAAAATGCAAGGGTGCGATTCTTATGTGGTACCTCTGGAGAAGGAGAAACGAGAAAATCTTCCAAGGTACCAAAACCTATCATCCTATTCTTGTTGACAGAGTGCAGCGACTTGCAAGTGAGTGCATCTCGTGTTCAGAGAAAATTTATGGGGTGGTGAGAGCCAAGAGAAGCAGCAGTCCGAAGGTTTGGGTTGCTCCACCGAGAGAAGTAATTAAGGTGAGTTGCGACGCATCTCTTTGTGAGGAGGGATGAGTGGGGCTTGGAGTGGTTGCGAGAAACTGGCAGGGGGAAGTCTTGTTTGCTGCGTCTAGACGAAGCAGAGCATATTGGCCTCCTATTATTGCTGAGAGTAAGGCGATTGTAATGGCCATTAGACTTGCGAAGCGATACGGACTTAAGGATATTGTGGTGGAGTCGGATTGCCAGGTTCTAATCGGAAGGCTATGCAAAGGCTCAATTTTTCTCACCGACCTTGATAATATACTTGATGATGTTCTTCCTCTTGTAGCTTTTTTAATTCTTGTTCTCGGAGTCATGTAAAAAAACAGGATGGGAATATTGTAGCTCATTATTTAGTCCGAATTGTGCCTTTTGGTGTTGAACAACTGTGGGAGAATCATAGTCCTTGTGAGGTCTCCCCGTATGTATTGATGGACAATTTATTAATATAAGGCCATCCGTTTTCCTCAAAAAAAAAAAAAAAAAAAAAAAAAAAAAAAAAAAAAATTGCCTAGAAACTTTATCATTAAATTTGATTGACTTTTGACTTACATTTTTCTAGTGGCTTTCATATTTAAATTTCAATTACCATAAATTTTAAAAATTGAGCATGGCTCGAGAATTATCTAGTGTTTGTCTAATCTCGAATTTAATCAATTAGTCATACATAGTGATCGTGTGTTTTTGTTAGGATGTTAATGTTCATTCATTCTTATTTATTAATGTAAATTATTAAATAAGGTCCATTTCCGCCAAAGTTGTTATGCTTTGGGGAAAAGTATCTAAGCGAACAAAATTTATTAATGTAAATTAAACTTCACATCTATACTTAATATGTTATTCATTGTGTTGTGGATTGACAGATGATGGACAAATATTGTGAGGAACAAGTACGAAGTATAAGTGAAGATAATTTTAAGGAATCGAATTGAAGCAAGATGCCTTGAGGCCATTGACTTGATCACTATTTTATTTGGCTCATTGATTCAAAATTGTTCATATGTGTTTAATTTTTTGATTTAATCAAATGTAGTTATCATGTCTTTATATAATACGAAGTAAGATCTTTCAGTATCTTGCCAAGCTTTAGACATTTATTTGATTAAATACAAAATAATTATGGAGACCATGCGCATGCTAAAATAAAAATGATGTTATAAAAACAAGGGAAAAGGAGAATATTAGAGAGGATGTAGAAAGTAATTGTGTTGATCATCCCATTTCATTAGACCATCCTATATATATACATGATGAAAATATGTAACCTATATGGACTATAAAGAGTCCATTCATGTCATCAAGTGGGAGTTACAATGTATATGGACTAATGTATATAGACTAGTGGGAGTTGCAATGTATATGGACTATAAAGAGTCCATTCATGGGAGTTACAAGCCATAATTGGCATACACATTTATTATATTTTGTAACAAATGAGACAATATTTTTTTTTTTTAATATTCTTCAAAAAAGAACCGTCATTAACGAAAAGAAAGTGAGAGATCAGAGTTAATACTCCCTTCGTTACATATTACTCACAACAAAGGAATATTTTATGTCTCACAAATAATACCCCTTTGTTGCGAGTAATATATAACGAAGGGAGTATAATTATCCGAAATGCAAGAAAATTATTGCAAAAACACAATTTATTAAAATGGATTCCACATAATTACACTTTTCTTTGCTATATATACGTCAATTTTGGGATAGTCCGTACTTGAAACTAGGCTTCTTGCAAGGTTGATTAGATTCGACGTAACTGAGTTGGATGCGATACTTGGGATGTATTAGTCGCTAAAATCGAGTGTGATTTGCAACATGATACCTCAAGTAACCCTTTTGGTAAACTTGTGTGTGTTGTGTCGTCGTATGAGAACACAATGGATTGTAAATTGTATGTTATGAGGATTGCTAAGCTTGTACCAAAAGGAGTCCTTTGATATTTTTCTGTGTACAAACACAAAGATTGTGAGAAAAAATTAAATAGACAATTGAAGATACACTGAACTTGTATGGGAGTAGATAAATAAATAATAAAATAAAATAAAATAAAATAAATAAAAAATAAAAAATAAACAAAAATAAAAAGAACTTGTATGGAAGTTTGAAGATGATTTTTCTGATGAGATTCGGTAAATGTTATCCAAATGACCTATTTTAACGGCACCTTCTATAATTAATGATGGATGACTTGAAAATTCAATTACAAGATTTGTTAAATAACTGGATGAGTAGTGGTATCGCTCCCACCTCGTATCCCTGAGGTATAGGAATCAATTTCATAGGACACCCCCCCCCCCTTAAATGAGCCCCCTTTTTCTTACCTAAAAAAAACAAAAATGATATATTTGATAAAGTGTTTTTCTCATGGAGCACAACTGTGTTATTCTGTTCAAATGGATAAATTGAATTCATGCTACCCTTATTTTGTGCTCTCTCTGTCCTTAATATTTGCCTTAATTTTAGATCGTCCCTCTCCCTTTAAGTTAGCACCATATTTCTTTCTCGTCAATTTCATCCTATCAAAAATTCAAAAAGTAACCTTATCGCTATGAGCAAAAGAAAAAAGGAAGGAGTGTATTGTGATGGTATACACAAGACAGAGAGACAGGGTTTTTGAGTTGTGGAACTCTTGGGGCCGGTTCTTGTGATTGGCATCTCAGCCGGTGAACTGAAGCACCCAAAGCAAACACAATTGTGATTCTAATTCGAGGTCTTGAGTACATTAATCAAGACTTCTACGAGGTATGATCCTTACTCATATCCAGTATAAATCTTACTAGGAAGAAAGCTTGAATCTGTTGTATTTAAGTTCAGTGAAGTTTTAAATTGAAGGTTTAACCCTGGTGGCCTTGGCTAAGGCCTAATATGGCCTTCAAAGAAAGACCCAACAAGCTTCACCCATTAAGGTAGAAAGTTATTTCCTGAAAAACAACCAAAATGAACTACCTACCCTGCATTATACTCATAGAATTGCCAAGATAAACCAAAGCCATTGATACTCTCAGGCTCCATTGTTGCGGTGATAGCATGTCATGCTCTTCTTGCAGAATCAAAATGTTCAAGCAATGAATTTCACCAAACAATTGACTGTGAATGCTGCCACTTCTCCGACTGCTAAAATTGGGCTGTTGCTAGTTTGCATCTTTTCATTCACCCTGATCCCATCTTTCTCTATAGAGAGTTGGCTTTCAAACAAAATTGTATTCCAGTGGATTTCAATTCCCACGACAACCAGATCAGCAGGTACAACCTGAGTATATTATGTGACAACAAACTTTAGAAGCTTTAGAATGACTTTTATGTATCGAAATCGAAATTCTGATACACAAAAATGGTGCAAACGATATGAATATGAACCTCCAATATTTTACCTTTCCACTGGGATCAGATTCAAAAGATGTCAAAACTGTCCCTTTTAATCACTTGACACCTTTACCCTTGTAATAGTCTCTACAGTCCTCATGATCTGCAATCTTAGCTTTGGAACAAGCGTAGCACTGTAAAGATGTTTAAAATATCGCATGAAATACGTAGATAATTAAGCTTTGGTAAGATAATGATACGGGAACAAGAAACAGAACCTTCAGGTTAACAAAAAGAAGTTATGCAAGGAACCAGATAGCCAGTATTTTTTCAGATATGCAACTCCCAATGACGTATTTGCAGACTGCAGTACTTAACAACAATAAACTGTGTCAATGCCAAAATCCCTTTTATTTGTTAGCCCTTTTTTACCACATAACATGATGATATTGTTACTCGAACAGTGCTTTTGAAAAAAAAAGCATAGACATGTTTTAATAACACATACTGTGATCTGCTACTTTTATTGAGAAGTCAGAGAACATGCTAGGCACAACTAATACAAAGTTGCAATTATTTTTTTTTTTTTTTTTTTCGGAAATATATATAATAAAGCCAGAACTTCATGCATTCTCAAGATCATATCATTGAGCTCGCATATTCTTAACAAGCCTTGCCTAAAGGCTAGGTTCAGCACTGAAGGAGTTAGGTCCGCATATTCTTCTGCATCATAAAAAATATGCATCAAAATATGCATCATTTGTAGATGTTCACAAGTATCATGTTTCCAATATTGATCCAACATATTAGGCAAAATAAATCAATAATTTTCGCTTTGTCAGCAGATTTTGACGCCATTTCTGATACAAACCCATTAAGCTAAAACAGAAAATTCACATTTTCTTTTACTACCAGAGTAAGATTATTTCTGAAAAGGTAAGTAGACACCAAAAAATTTCAATTGACAACTCACTATTTGGAACCAAAATAAGCTCATTATAATCCAAATCAATAAGCTATAGTGACTATGATTGTTTATAAGAATTATTCAACTATCCAACAGTGGTCTACTAGGAAAGACCATGGATAAGCATGACTATGACCAAAATGCAGCACATTTCATTCTTATACCAGCCACCGCCAATAATAACAGTATTTCCACCTACAGAAGATTGCATCACATCACAATAACAAGCTAACTCAAACCAGCAAGATCACACAAAAATAACACAGATGTTCAGTACATTTACTCCCAAATCTTCAAGTTTCAACACCTAAAAGTTGCTTAAGAAACTCAATTAAGCATATAATGTAATCTTCAAGCTTCAACATCTGAAATTGTCATTATAAGAATAAAACAAGAGAGATAGGCATCTTGCGTGCTAGAGAATTACATAAAAATTTCAAACAATGAGAATATAAATCAAGCGACACAAATATGCAATGCATTAAACCAAGAAGAATCAGCTTCAATACCCAAGCACCAGTAGCGACAACGAGAATCCTGTAACTGGTATCTCCAGTTGCTATCAACAGCGTTTTTCACCGTACATAAACAGACATATCACAAATTCCAGGAACAAGTTCAATACCTGGATGCAGCACCCAAACTTTTACCTCTTACCAACATCACTCATGCCTCCAATTTGCAGCACATACCTGCATGATCTCATATTCACTTCAACCTGAGAAGTAGACATCTGCATGCACATAATTTCAACCACAAGATACAGTTATACCAATACTTCAGGAAAAATAACAAAACAATTCAAGACAAATTCTCATGGCAGACTCACACAAAATCATTTTGAGGTAAGTAACATACGTAGTGCTAAATGTACGTTATCCATCAGATCGTTTAACTGCAACTACGAACTAACATGTCCATCACTATTTGTATAGTGTACCAACTTTGGAAATGGGATACTTTTACTGGAAACAAGCAGGTTTTAGCTCCTACGGATTAGTATCGGATATTGTTTTTCTTGGACAGAACATTCAAAATTTCTAACTAATGCCTCAATGAAGCAAATGCAGCTTATCCCTATGCCTGTGAGTTTTCGCTCAGTCAGAATCATAGCAAAGTTTGACAAAACAGAGAAGATACGAAGCAAAAACCCTTTGCTTACTGCAGCTCTTTCATAAAGAGCGACCTAGGAATAAAAAAAACTCATGTCTGAACATCAAATAATTGATTATGATACTAGTAATATCATAAAAACATATAAAAGCAATAAATTTTCAATTGCAAGACTTACAACACAGATTGAAGATTTTGTTCTGTCCAAAAACAAGACAATGCCAATATCTACATCAATAATCACAGAAATAAACAGATAAATAAGCTTGAAATCAAATGCGAAAACACATTAGTTGAATTTGGTAAAATTTTATGATGCAATTTTCCTCAACATTTACCAAATTACATAAACCAAATTACAAAAGCAACATTAGAATTCCGCATATACTACATCTAAAACAATTAATTATCTAAAAAAGAGTAGCTAAAATCACAACAAAAGATTTACCCCAACATTTACCAAATTACATAAAAAAACAAAACCCAAAAAAAAAAAAAAAAAAACCTCAAATATTATATTTTCTTAAACAATGGAAACCTTAGCACCAGCCTCTTCAAGCTGTTTCTTAGCATCTTCAGCATCATCTTTAGAAACACCTTCCTTCAATTTCTTAGGCAAACCTTCAATCAAATCCTTAGCTTCTTTAAGTCCAAGACTAGTCAAAGCCCTAACAGCCTTAATCACAGCAATTCTAGCATTACTAGGAACTTCATCAATTGACACATCAAACTCCGTCTTCTCTTCGACAGCAGGAGCGGCATCAGCAGGAGCACCAGGGGCAGCAACAGCAGCAGCAGGAGCGAACGACGCAGCAGAAACTCCTAACTTATCCTGAAGCCAGTCGACGAGGACTCTGGCTTCCTCGAGCGTAAGGCCGGAGAGTTGAGTACCCAATTGCTCGATTTTCTCGGGTGCTTCGACAGCGGCAATGGGGCGAAGACGGGTGGTGCGGGAAGAGGAGAAGGAAAGAGGGTTGATGGGGTTGCGAGAGGGGAATTGGAGGGTTAAAGGGTGTTTGAGGAAGGTGGAAGAGGGTGTTGGATGAGAGGTGAGTGAAGGGAGGTTGAGGGTAGCCATTGTTGTTGTTGCCGCCATTGTTGGAGGGAGAGAAGAAGAGATGAGAGGATTAGATATGAGGATAAGGAGAGAGTGAGGAATGAGTGAGTGAATGAAGATAGGAGGATTGAAGAGGTGTTGAGGGGTTGTGGAAGGGTATTTATATTTTGAAATGTGGGGATTGGATTGGCTTTTATTTGGGCAAAAAATATAATTGTTGAATGATAAATGTAGGTTCTGGTTATAAAAAAAGTTTTGCAATTTTTTTAGAAAAATAAAAAAATTTGAAAATAAGACGGGGCATTCCGAGAATCGAACTCGGGACCTCTCGCACCCAAAGCGAGAATCATACCACTAGACCAAATGCCCATTATATCAACAAATTGTATTGATTAAAGTGGTAGTCCCTCTGTATTTTTTTAAGTGAAATGGATCTCTTGTGCACATATGATAATGTTTTAATCAATAATATCTTTAATTATCTTTTTTTTTTTTGTATACATAATTAATTAATATTAGTCAAAGTAGATTAGGTGTATAGTGCAAAAGGTCAAAAATATTTCACTTAGAAAAATACAATTATACAAAAGGAGTATCATGATACGCTCTTTGTTTCAAAATAAATGTCATTGTTTAGTTTTTACACAATGCACATATACTACTTTGACATTTGTTTATGATTTATATATAAGATTAATTTAAATTCGAATTGAAGGATCCCTACAAGTATTAAGTATGGGGGGAGTAATGTTTTAATGCTTAGTCTCCTAATTGTAGTACATGTGAGACGTTGCAATACTATTTTTAGTGGAATTCCCAAGATTTTGGTGTTATGTGGAGGTAAAGTGCATACACCGTATTTAGGAAAGTTGATCCATTACTTGTAGACGTAGTAGGCATGACAAAGGACAATATAATTTGTACTGTCACGGCAACCCATGATTCCCTTCATTTCCTAATTCATAAAGAGTAAAATCAAGTAAAGATTAAAGTTACGTAAATAATAATTAAAATTAAGTCAAGTCAAGTTAATTAATGTGTTTAATTGCATGATTTGTTATTTTATGTGATTCACAAGAATCACTAAGATATGAACATAACCATAAGCAACTTCATCATCAAGGGGCAATTTAGTATCATAGGATTCACTGACGTATCCTTCCACATCAACAGGATCACCATCACGTTCATCACCATCACTACCAAAAGAATGAACAAGGGACTTAAGTGGCTACTGCTCAACCTCTTCACCATTTTTAGGGTTTTAGGGCCACAACTACCTGTAGACATCTACTTTTGGTCCTTTGTCCCGACCGGAAGTGATATGACGATTAATAATTCCATCTCTTGTGTTGGATTGGAGTGAAGAATGCTTATGGACTACTGATTAAAGCCTAAACACATAAACCCACTAGCTTGACCCAAAACAAAATGAACCAAAGCTTGTTAATACTAAGTCCGATCAGCAATTAAGCCTAATCCTGAGATTAAATCTAATTTTGACGGATTTAGAAGCGCCTAGGTTAAAATCTATGGCTGCCGCAGGATAAACCGCATGCAACTCAAGGAGTCGCGCTGGCCTAGCACGCGCAACTCACAAGGATGTGCGTGACACCCAGCACAACCTCTACTGATGCACTTGCGGAAGATTCAGAATTTCATAAAAAATACTGAATCGAATCTTACCATAGAGCCACACGCAAAATCATAGGTTGCGCTTCCCAATGCAGCGCGGCTTAATCACTTGCGTGCAGCAACCGCGCACAACCTGTTGAGTTACACGCGCCACATGTTGCGGCATAATGTTCAAAACCCTAAACTCACCCATTCCCTATAAATAGGGGTTCAATACGAGCTTTGAATCACATATAAATTAACCTAAAAGTCAGCAAATTTGTGGACTCATGGACTAATCATCCCTCTTGTCCTAAACACTCACCCTTCAATTGTTTGTTCTTATGGTGGAGGTTCCCGAACAAGAAGGAGTCCATAAGTGTTCTAAACGAAGATATAGCAAGGAAAAGTGGTAAATTCCCGAGCACTTAGATAAATCACCTTTCTTTTCTTGCTTAAACAACTTTTAATCAATTAATTAGTGTTGCATGATCACCTTAAATAAACTTTAATTAATTATTTTCACATATTATTATTGCGTTAATCAAGACTAGAATTTGAATAATTAATTGATCGTTTTATCACCTAAGCCAAGGCGAATCTTGTTTATTCTGTTCCTTTCACGAATTTGAATTAAATAAGAATAATGACATTCGTTGCAATGTAATCTTTATGTGATTAACGTGTGTAATAAAATCAACTAACTTAGTTTTAGGTATCACGTTGCATATATTGTTTGGTAATGAAATTGTGAAAAAGGAAGAGCTAGTAGAGGCCGCACTTGGGCTAGAATAGCGATTCCTCCCTAAAAGGAATGTTATTTTAGTACCCTCGCTCTCGAACTCATTTCTGGTACAAGTAGACCAATTTGCCTTGAACCCTACTTGGGCGAAAGGCATGAACGAGGTTTATGAGTTTTCCTAAAACTCATTGGCGACTCCTTATTAGTTTCTTAAAAAAAAGCGTAACGATAGGATCAACTCAATTCAAGATCCCCCAAACAGTTAGTAATTCAAATCCTAACACACCCTAAAAAGTGTAAAGTCCTAGGCTTTTAAAGGGCCATGGGCATAGAGGAGAAGGATCCCCTACGATGGGCACACCCTCCTCACAGTGGCAACTCCACTGGGGACTTAGACGTTACAAGATTAGTTCTTAGTTAAGGTTCAAGGTTTCCAACTTAGGTTACCTATGAGTTGTAACGAGGGCTAACTTGGATAATCTCTAGTTAGAGAGCGAGACTTGAACACATAATATCTTCCTTTTTCACGAAAGTAAAAGCCGAACAAGCAACATTGCATCATGCATAATCATAAGCACCTTCTAACCATTTGGGATTGGCTCATTGACTAGGGGTTGCCAATACCAGGCTTCTATCCCAAAATCAATAACAATCATCCCACCCATATTGCCAACAAAATGTTGGGAGAGCTATGTCATGGGTCCACACGTTGAGTAATTGATTCGTGCATCATTTCTTAAGATATGGTACCCTTGGACACCCAAAACCTTGACTTTAGAATGGCATTATGTGATTTAATTATGTGATTACATGACTATTTGCGACGTGTATAGGATTGTTTTTTCCTCCTTTTTAGTCTTAACTTAGGTTCCCAACTACGAAGTTGTCCCTTCGTAGTTTCGAGTCACATTCAAGGGATACCATATGATTAAAATAAACGTTGAAAAAAAAAATACTAAAGAAAATACCATCGTTCGAAAAAAAAATCCTGCTCGAACAAGTGGCGTGCGCAACTCAATGAGTTGCGCGACCACGCCCAATGCAAGTTCTGGGGCTGCGCGCGCCTTCTGCTGCGAGACCATTTTGATTCTTCGTGAACTATTGGCTCGTCCAAACAATGTCATTATTTATGAATTGTTGAAAGGCGATGATGTCTCTTTGAACGTAATTTGCGTCTTTTTTCTTCCTTTCACTTTGTTTTGTTTTCTCTTTTTTTCAAAGTAAGCGTGTCAGTTTTCTTAACTTCTCATACTTCCTTTAGGGCTGGTTACCAAGCTTGGGAATGAAGACACCCGGGCACTCGCATTCTACGTTTACCATCAAACAATCCACCCCTTTCGAACCATCTCCCTTTCTCAACTCATCCTAGTTCAACAATGTCAACCATCGAACAAGTCCAAGAAGAGATTATTCGCATGAGAGAGGAAAAGGCTCAAGAAGCCGAGGCTAGAAGAATTAAGAAAATTGAAAAGGCCGAAAGGAAAGAGGTCGAGGCTTTAGCTATAAAACAAAAAATGGATGTTTTAGCCGAACGAGAGAAGACAATGGAGAAACTTGTTCTTCGCTCTACTATGGGGAACAAGTACTTTAACGCAGAAAATTTTGCTCCTCCTGTGGGACTTACTTTACCTGAAATATTTGTAGCTATAGACTTATCAATATTTAAAGTGACCAATAACCCAAAAAATCATCTAATGAGTTTTACTAGCACCATGGCTCTAAAGGGAGTTGGTCCTAAGCTTTATGATTTGACATTCCCTTTATCTCTAGACCCTGCTGCAAGAGAGTGGTACTATGGGCTAGATGCCAAATTCAAAAACACATGGGAAGATGTAGTTTCGGCTTTCATCACCCAATATGAGAGTAACGTAGAGTTCAAATCAACTTTGCGTGAACTTGAAATGATTAAGCAAGGTGACGATGAAGGTTTCCTTGCTTTCTATGGTATAGTAGATGGCATGAAAAGCCGGCTCATCTTGCCCAAAGGCCGCCCGAACTTGAGTTAGTACAAAAATTCATTGACAATTATCATGAAAAGTACAACAAGCATCTACGCTACCTTGATCTAGACACTTTTCAAAAGGTCTATTCTATGGCCACTAGGATTGAAGATGATCTTGCCAAAGAAAAGGCAAACAAGCCTCATCATCATCAACCTAAGAACAACTACAAGAAGGGGAATGATAACACTTTATCCTCTACTGATGTTTTTGCAACGTCCACACACAATATAATAATAACGATCCACATAATATAATAATAATGATCCTCGAAAAAGGTGGACAAGAGAAAGAACATTCACGCAATTCCCTTTAGCTTATAAAGAATTATTGGAAAAATTAAATGAAAAAGGATTACTCTCACCAACTAGGCCAACGCCTCCTCCTCCCATAGAAAGAAGAAATCCTCAATGGGATGGCAATGCTTATTGTACTTATCATAGGGGTGTTGGGTATGATACTGAACATTGCTTTGTTTTGAAATACAAGATTCAAGATCTAGTAGACAATGGGAAAATTTCCACGCCTAAGCCTAATATGTTTCCCCATTGGGAATATTTCATATCGGTGAGGACCACATGAGGAGTGATGAGTTCAATCCTTGGGATTACATCACTCCCATAGGGAAACCTCTAACCACAACACTCATAGGGGCAACTAATGAAGTGTGTGGATTATGGGATGCCGTCGTCTCACCTCCACCTTATCTCCAAGTTGAAACAAGTGGAGCGCTTGATTGGGATCATTTTTTGGGAAAATCACAAGATTTGTTAAACCTTTCCCTAGATGAAC